ATACTGATAAACATACATGCATATATATATACATACAGATCACCTTGAACATAACAGTTTCACAACGACACATTTATAGAGGTCACAGTGGAGACACCAGCAGCACTAACAGACGTAGATAATTTACCGCCCTCTCGCAGATTCCCGCTCTCATACTGGGTTTAGCGGAGACCCCAAGGGAAAACGGTGGTAGTTTCATGACTGGATATAATCCTGCGTACCGACCCTCTTGTCAAACGGTAGATTGCACTCCATTTTATTTTCATTTTTATATAAACGTTTAGAGAAAGCAAGGGACGACAGATTTGGATTTGCGCGACTAGCTCTTAATCCCTGGTGGTTAAATTCATTCTCAACCGTTGACTGTTCGCTGCTTAACTAATTCGTTGGCTCATTCACCCATCCACACACCCAATAAATCACATGCTCACTCACTCACTCACTCACTCACTCACTCACTCACTCACTCACTCACTCACTCACTCACTCACTCACTCACTCACTCACTCACTCACTCACTCACTCACTCACTCACTCACTCACTCACTCACTCACTCACTCACTCACTCACTCACTCACTCACTCACTCACTCACTCACTCACTCACTCACTCACTCACTCACTCACTCACTCACTCACTAGGGTTTTACGAATTTAGATATTGCATATTGCATTAGGTCTAATTTAACGCTGACTATGACTTCAGGGAATAATTGTAAAACTGCGTCCATTACTAAACCTAACTCACTGAGTAAATCACATGTTCGCTCGCTCACTCACTCACAAATCCAATAAAGCATATGCTCATTCGCTCACTCACTCATCCAAAAAAAGTCAAAATCAGTCACTCACTCATCCAATAAATCACATAGTCATTTACTCACTCACTCACTCACCCAATAAATCACATAGCCATTCACTCACTCACTTGAGTTTTTATCAACGTTAAATTTAGACAATGCACGTTGCATTTAGCCTCAGTTAATATGGACTGTGTCTGCAGGGTATAACTGTAAAACTGCGTCCAATGCTAAACCCACGAATGCACAGAATATCACATGTACAGTTAACACGTCTACCGACAATAAATTATCAACAAGCCGCAACAGAATTAAAACCAACACAGGCTCACATTTCACCCAGCCTTTTTTGTTTTTGTTTTTGTTTCTGTGGTGAATCATAACCTAGTTACATTCTAATAAGCATCCCAGCAGATGTTTTCGTAAAGTCAAAGCATTTACATTCGCGCCCAGAGCTATAGTTACCATGCCGGGAATCGAACCTGTATCCTCCACAGGACGACAGGACCTCACTGCAAAAACAATTGTAGTGAGACGCATGACCAACTAAGCACCCCTAAAATTAGATGTCCTCATTAGCCAAGTCTGCCCCACAGATTTAACCTACAACTATGGAATATGGACATAATCAGTATCAAACGATTGAAATTGCACCATAAGTTACCAAGCATTGGTGGACTAACAAAGACAACAACAATTATAAACACACTGGACCATAATGATGTGTCTATAATAAAAAGAAAATTTAAGACACATTTTTGAAAGGGCGGTTTCATTCTCTTAGCACGTTATAAATAAAAAAAAAAAAACAACAACAACAACAACAAACAGAGGCGACCCCTTGAGTATGTATAGACATTGTACACATAAAGCAGACATGAAATGATTTGCACTCATAGAAAGAAGCAGAAAGATAGGCACTTAATATGAGAACCGCTGTGACAAGCCACGTGTCCTTCAACCAAAGCCACCATGACTGAAGCATACAGCCAGGTTTACATCTACTCTGGACACATATAATTAATTGTTTTATGGCTGTCGGGCGACATTTTTACAGCGTTTGTGTAACTATGTACGGCTTTCACGAGGAAACTGGCCCCACATTTCCTTACCACAAAGCGGAGGATTTAGCAAAGAAATTCAGGAGTAAAGACACAGTGTTCATATTGTTATTTTTCACGACTGTGATAGTTAGACAAGGTTCGTATTGTGTACAGTGTACAACAGAGTGATAATTAGACAAGGTTCGTATTGTGTACAATGTACAACAGAGTGATAATTAGACAAGGTTTGTATTGTGTAAAGTGTACAACAGAGTGATAATAAGACTAGGTTCGTATTGTGTACGGTGTACAAGAGAGTGATAATTAGACAAAGTTCGTATTGTGTACAGTGTACAACAGAGTGATAATTAGACAAGGTTCGTATTTTGTACAGCGTACAAAGGAGTGATAATTAGACAAGGTTCGTACTGTGTACAGTGTACAACAGAGTGATAATTAGAAAAGGTTCGTACTGTGTACAATGTACAACAGAGTGATAATTAGACAAGGTTCATATTGTGTACAATGTACAACATAGTGATAATTAGACTAGGTTCGTATTGTGTATGGTGTACAACAGAGTGATAATTAGACTAGGTTCGTATTGTGTACAGTGTACAACGGAGTGATAATTAGACAAGGTTCGTATTGTGTACAGTGTACAACAGAGTGATAATTAGACAAGGTTCGTATTGTGTACAATGTACAACAGAGTGATAATTAGACACGGTTCGTATTGTGTACAATGTACAACATAGGATAATTAGACAAGGTTCGTATTTTGTACAATGTACAACAGAGTGATAATTAGACAAGGTTCGTATTGTGCACGGTGTACAACAGAGTGATAATTAGACAAGGTTCGCATTGTGTAAAATGTAGAACAGAGTGACACCAAGTTTGTATGTTTACATCGAATTGTATAATCACATCAAATTCATAATTTTATACTGAAAATCACAACGGGTCCACATTTTTTCACAATTTTATCACATAATCACACTAGGTTCGTATTCTATAGTGTATAATATAATCACTTAATAATCATTTTTTTTACACCGTACAATATAATCACACTAGGTGCATACTTTGACACTGAGGCAAAATAATCACATCAGTGTTGTTGTTGATTGCATCGTATAATCACATTATTTCATATTTTTACGATTGTATAAAATCACATCAATTGTACGATAGTGTCATATAATCCACGTCAGTTTTACGATTGTATCATATAATCACACCAGGTTTATATTCTATAATGTATAATACAATCAGATAATGATCTTTTTTCAGAGCGTACGATATAAACACTAAACACACTGGGTGCATACTTTGACACTGAGAAAAAAGTCACATCAGTTGTTGTTGCTGATTGCACATATAATCATAGTAACTTTATATCTACCTTTACGATTGTGTCAATAAAATCACATCAATTTTACGATCGTGTCATATAATCATACAATTTTTACAATGAGGAAAATAATCACGCAGGGTTAAAATTTACAGCATTCCTCTTCCTCTTCTTCTTCGCGTTCACCAGCTGTAAACTCTGGCGGAAAGTTCTGGTTGCTCGTCCACTACTGAACTGCAGTCGGGCTCCAGAACCTGAGTGTTGCGTGTGCATCAGTTTTACAATCTCATTCTCTTGAATATAGACTGTTGGTTCCTTGCCTCTCCGGCAGATGCACTCCGTCTTCAAAGGAAGCTTCCAAATTAGTCGACTCTTACGACATGCTTTTGGGGAGGCAGTGGGTCTATTCTTGTTTTCCCCACAATGGGGCCCCGGGACCCACACGGGGGATTTACAGCATTGTATTATAGAAACTTTTTTTTTCCACGCCGTACATCACACCACTAGGGGCATTGCCATGCGTGCTCTGTCCTCATCTTAAGCAGCCAGCGCGGGGTTCCAATACTTATGATACTGGTCACAGTCTGATTATATGTCCGTTTTGCTTTCCCTGTGAGTGTAGTGAGCCGACCAGACCCTCTAGTTACCCCTAGGTGCCTTATTCTCTCCAGACCATAATAATTTTCTTTCTTAACTGTTTCCTTTACTTGTTTCCAAAGGACCTTGACCACATCTGCCTTGTCATGTATCAGTTACACCGTACAATATAACCACACAAGGTGCATACGTTGACACTGGGAATAATTATCACACCAGATTCGTGTTTTACGATTACATCATATAATCGCATAATGTTCGTAATTTTACGACTGTATCACATCATATAATTACACCACTTTGACACTAAGAAAAATATATCTAAACAAACAGATAATGTGTTGACTGACTGACTATCTACCCCACCAGGACATCACACAAGCGATAAACACCCGATGACACAAAGTGCCACCATGTGGATGAGGATCGCCGTGGATAGGTCCCAGAAACCGCGTTCAGACAATCGGCCATATATGGCCTGCCTATATTGCGGCCCCTGGCAAAAGCCAGGGTGGGGCTTCAAATAATAAAAAAAAATTCATCCTAAAAAGGACGTAAGGATTGCTAGTAACAATGTGTTAACTGGCACTCATAGAAAGAAGCAGAAAGATAGGTGGACACCTAGAGAACATAAAAATCAAATGCTATAGTTACCGTTACGGGAATCGAACCCGAATGACGTGTGCACCTCGTTATGGAAACAAAGATACTAAGAACATGAACAGCTAGACACTCCAAAAAAATTGTTTTCATTTGCCATGTCTGTCGCACACCTTGATATCCACACTATGGTTTACGGATATAATTCATATGAAACCATTAAAATGGCACCAAGTTACATAAATTTATATTAACCAAGCATAGGTTGAATAACAAGCACAGCAACAATTTACAAACACATCAGACCATAAATGCTTTGTCTAGAATACACAAACATTTAAAGAAAGATTTGATTTGTCGGTTTAGGATGAATTCTGTCTTTTAGTGCCAATCAGTACATTGTCTATTTGTTTATTCTATGTTTATACTATTGAAGTGACTGCACATGATAAAACGGAATGGAGAAATATACTATGTGACATACAATGTTACAACAGGACGAAGGAAGAAACAATATTTTTTATCTTCTTGGCGATGAAGTTAAGCACTTGTTCCGTCCACAGCTGGTCTAGGTGAGACGACTCACCGCTGAATGCAGCCACCATGCTGGCACTGTGCCGAAGGCGACCTGCTCGACCAGTCACTCGCTTGTCCAAGCGGCGACTCATGCACAGTACCGGACACAACATCGTCACCGTGGGCATTGAAGACAAGTTTTGGAAGTACCTCTCCGATCTGTACACAACCCTCATTGACATCAAGTGGAGGTAATTCTTGCGCATGTATATCAAGCAGTCAATGAATGAATGAACCTATCATAAAATCAAACAGACGCTATTTTCACGACGAAGGTTTGACTACATACGATCTCTAGCACAGGCTCTCGTGCTAACTGTATATTATCCGTACATTACATTTCATGTTATCGCACCCCCGGGCACTTACAGATACAATATATATTTGTAGGCATGTGTGTGTGCGCTTATGCTCCTATATGCTCAAGTATGTATGTATGTGTATGTGTATGCATGTGGGTGTAGTTAGTGCTATCTCTTTTACACGACATTAAAAAACCAACCGCAGCCCTGTAAGCTCTATGACTTTACTCAACACTTTTACACTCAGCGCTTTGGCATTTCCCCAAAAGAGTCGACTCTCATATCACTGGGGACATCATCACGCAAAACAGTCTGCTGCTAAACTGACTGCAGCTGAACAGAACCAGGAATATCGAAATGATAACAGAACACACACACACACAAAAAGGCGCGCTGACGCAGAAAAAAACATTGACCCCCCCCCCCCCGGAGGGAAAAAAAGGAAGTGGGTGGCATAAATATTTTCTACGTGAAAAAGGGTTAGGGGCTCAAGTAGAATAACCCTAATGTAACAGCATAATTATAGCAACATAAAAATACTACTAATAATAATATTTTGCTGTAAAGGGACCCTTTTTTAGTCTTAAGGCGTATTGGGCATTTTAGGAGATACCTTTTTTTTAGACCAATCGGCTCTCGTTGTGTGGTGTGGTCACGGTCACATCGGAGGTCTTTACTTCCGAAGACTTTACTTGGTGTACCCATTTAAGGCTGTCGACCTGTGCGTCAAGGTCACTTTAAAAAAAACCTGACTGTATCAGGATCTGAACAAACGACTTTCAGATTCGCAGGCCAGCGTCTAGCAGCTACATCACGGCCACTCTCACACTATGCTGAATGGCTAATATCTGTAATATTACATTTAAGAAAAAGTAAAGATCCCTTTCACGCCTTTTGGCGCATCGGGCATATGGGCAGAGCGTCCCATATTTTTACAGACCATCAGCAGTGTGGGTAATGTGGTCAGCATTACGCCGGCTGTCTTTACTTTCCCAGGACAGCCCATCCTGGTACCCATTTTAGGCTGGGTCGACCTGCGACGTCCCATACCACGACAAAAATCCACGCAGCCTGCAGTGGGTTTCGATCGCGGTATGCTGGCTTGCGAGTCGGGCTCGCAATGCCTTAGCCACGGACGCCGCAATATTACATTGAAAGTCACCTGAAATGTATCGGCAAATATCTTTCAGATGATTTCTCTACCTTGTTAAAGAGCGTTGCTTAGTTTATATTTTCTTGGGCGAGCGGTGGGGCGCAAGTGACCTTTGTCCCCATGATCCCAGGTGTATGTACACACACGCATGCACATATACATATATTGTACAATGCTGGACGCTTCGGAGAGCTGCCGGTTTTCTACTGTCATATAATAAATTCAAATGTGGTACAGCCTGATTCAGTGAAATCAACGGAAATTGCTGACGCCCCCTGCCTTGCTACACGATTAATTAAATAATGAGACTAATTAAATACAAATTAAAATAATAAACAGTTAAAGATATAACGTAAAGATATAATCTGATTCAAAGTAAGCTCCTTGTGCATTGATACAGCAAGTGGCACGATCTAATAAACACTGGAACGATTAAATTTTTTTGTTATTTGAAGACCCACCCTGGCTTTTGCCAGGGGCCGCATTATAGGCAGGCCATAAATATCGCAATTGTCTGAACGCGGTTTATGGGACCTCTCCACATAGTGGCACTTTGTGTCATCGGGTGTTTATCGCTTGTGTGATGTAATGGTGGGGTAGAAAGTCAGTCAGTCAGTCTGAATTTTGCAATGAGTTCATCATTACGGATATAAATTTTGCGTCCAGGTCTAGGTGCATTAATAATCATTTCCACACCCTTTTGAATCCTGAAGTCCACCTGAAAATTTGTGCATGAGATAAACAATTATCCCTAAGACCCGAGAAAAGTTTCTGTCGCGTCAACGGATCCTTGGAATAGTGAACCCTGGAAAGCCACCCCCCCCCTCCCCCCCCCCTCAATACTCCCACCCACACACACGCGCGCTCGCACACACGCACACACTCACACAATAAACACAATATAAAATATGATTAAAAAGTCCAAAAGAAAGACGCACAAATACATAAAGGGATACTTCGACCGAAATCTTCATCAACAAATTAAAAAACAAACACTTTATATCGAAAAACGTCAAGCAAGCACCTAACCATTATGTTAACTTAAACAAAAGTTCCAAGGATTCCAATTTGAGAGGTTAACAGTCAGTGACTCGGAAAAGCTTTGTTCGGATGACATTACTTCTTATTTTCTCTACTCCTGGAATGCCTCGTGGCGTCAGGGCAGGAAGGGATTTCTGGAACATTCCCTTCTGTTTGCTTCTTATAAAGTATTTTTCGGTGTCTTATATTTCTGCGATTCATCTTTTGCGTGGTCGACATCTGGCCCTGTTACTGCTGTATCTGTATAACAATGCAATCTGTGGTACCCTGTCTCATGCCAATCCGGTTACATGGCCAAACCATTTGATTTGTTTTCTACCTAAAAATTTCTCTATTGGTTCTGCGGCGACTCTGCTAAAAGCATTGTGCCTAAGTCAATCTTTCCTCGTTTCACCTAACATAATACGTTAGAATTCCATTTATGTCGTGACTATTTTCCTTTTGTCTTCTGAAGACAGTGTCCATTTTGACATTGATAGTATAATATTGGTAAGAATATTGTGTTGAGCAGTGTTCTTAAAGTGTATATATTCATATGCATTTTAAAATTGGTGCTATTTGGCCCAAAACGTGATTGGCTTTATTTCATCTTTGTTGGATTTCTTTTTTGATTCTTCCTCTTCTGAAAAAATGCTCCCCAGATATGTAAGATCCTTAGCCTGCTTTAAGTAGTGTTCATCAGTTTTGATTTTAGTGGCCTTTCCTTTTCTGGATAATGTCATCACTTCTGTTTTGTCTAATTGATCTTTATATCATAGTTGACGCATTCTGGGTGGAGTCTATTATTATGTTTTTTTATAGTTGTACTGCTGTTGGTGCTATGATTGCCTGGTGATCACCGAGAGACAATTCATTTAGTAATTCGGATTGCAAGTTAAGTAGGTCGTTGAAAGTTGACGCCATCTCTCTAGGACCTTTTGTGGTTCGTTTAAGGGCTCCCGTTGTAATTTCCTTTGTGTCATTTTGTTCAGTCCTTCTCATAACTTTAATTTGCATATATTGTTTTGTTTAGTTTTTCGTAGCACTTTTTTGGTCAGCGTTTAACATTTGGCTGTATTTCTGTCATGTTGTTTCTTTGACATCTCTGATATCTCTGGCTATCGTTCTTGCCACTCGGTTTTCTTTCTGATCATCTTGATTTTTAGTTTTCGCCCACGTCTGGTTTTTACATTTCTTCTCCTTCACTGCTGTTTTATCCTTCTCCCACCAAGGTGTTATTAATGGTCTTGCGCTTCTCCTCTTTACCATTACTCATGTTTCTCTTGTTGCTTCTAAGATTGGTCTTCTTAACATGTCTTCTACTGAATTGGTTTCTTTAGTTAGCAAGGTATAATCATCCATAATTAGAGTTCATTACTATTTACTGGGTAATAGCGGGATTAATATAAAGCAGATCTGTATGACGGATATGTATCTTGAAACAAGTCCAAAGTCCTGAAGTGAATAATCGAACAGAAGTTTTCCTGGAGTTTACAGTCAGTGAACGCTGAGAAGAAGAAGAAGAAATACTACTATTAATAACCTGCTATGTTTAGAACTAACACAAAAGATTTGTTACCATTCCTATAAAACAGGTACTACCCACCTACTAATGTGTATATTAGTAATGCTCAGGGCGCCAGGTCCTGGAGGCTTGGTCAAATTTTGTTCTGTTTTTTTTTTTTTTTTTTGTTAAAAATGTTCAAAAACACTCTCATCAAATGAATGGATGCGTTAATTAACTTTAGCGATGTGTGGGTGCCATTTCTCGAATAATACCTAAATTTTTGCACAGGTAGACATCAATTCCTTTTTTTAACCTCTGAAACCGGCCCATCATCTTATCTTCCTTTTTTTTCTCGTCTGACGACCCGCCGACGACATCGGAGGAAGGAAAAATAATGACTTTATGGCCCTTTACCTAACACAAATTTTCAACGAAAAAACAGGAAAAATTTAAAAAAAAAATGTCGGTGATGAATTTTGCGGTTTCACTCTACTATTATTATAATCACCAGTACTGTTGTTTCTGTTGCTGTTTAAACTCCTTCGACTGTTTGGTTTACTTGCAGGTGGAATATCTTGATCTTCGTTAGTGGGTTCGTTGTCACATGGCTGCTCTTTGCATGCATGTACTACGCCCTGAGCTACCTCCACGGAGACTTCGACGAGCAGAGCGCCGACTTCGTACCCTGCATCCTTAACGTGAAGACCTTCACCGCCGCCTACCTGTTCTCCATCGAAACTATGATGACCATTGGCTACGGCATTCGGGTGCAGACGGAGTCCTGCCCGGGGTTGTATCTGACTGTGATGTTGCAGTCTATTGTTGGGGCAGGGTTGCAGTTTATGCTGGCAAGCATTGTCGTATCCAAAACCAGGAGAGCAAAGCGGTATGTTAGCATTGAAACATGTTGTCCTTGGTGTGTGTCGTGTGTTCAGCGGTTGTAAACTCCAGCAAGAAGTCCTAGTTGTTAGTCCATTTATTTTTTCTTAGGCTTTCTTTCAGGACTTGAGTACGCCATCAACGCTAGAAATCAACAATGTTATGTGGATGTCAATAAATAAGTCACAAATGGTTATGGGATGACAGGAAAATGTAGTTGGTGTTTCTAAAGGTGTCATTAGGTGACATCAATATCGAACTTTATGTCTTCGTTTGCTAGGTGGCGGTAAGTGTTGCTTGCGCATTCCCAAGGCATAAACTAAATGGCAGCTGTACTTACGAAGTATGCCCTCAAAGGATAACGTGGTGTCGTGTGTTAATTTATTTTACCTGGGAGGGGGCGCAATAGGGCTGCCTGCAAAGGAAACTAATATAGAAATGCCTGTTTATGCTGACATATGTTTATTCCGTACAGCAGTGCGTAGCTGACTAAAATAAATCTCAAGAAAATGTCCAAGCCTGCTGCCAGAGATGTACTTCTCCTTCATGACGATGCCAGATTAAATACGGCTCGGTTAAACTCAAGAGAAATTAACTATCTAGGCTTGAAAGTTCTGGAATATCCACTTTCCAGAACCGACTTAGCCTCTAGCCATTTCCACCTTTTTGGTCCACTGAAAACCCACACTGGCGAGAGACATTTAGCGAATAACGCAGAAGTTGAATGTGAAGTGGTTTAAAAACAGAGCACTCAGTTCTCTACAGAATGTTTGGCAAGGCTGATAAAACGATGGGACAAGTGCATTAATGTTAGTGAAAATTAAGTTAACACATAAAGGGACAGTACAGTGTGCACAAATTAACAGTTTTTAAGTTGTCATAGTTTTCAGTCTTTTTGTTTGTTTGTTCGTTTGTTCAAGCACACTTATGATTGACGGAGTCTGGCCAGAAAACCGTGATCGGACGTTCAGTTCCCGCCTTTACATGTGAGAGGCGCAAGTGTAAGTGACTGGAACGTCAGCTTGGTTGACGCCCCTACCGGCGACCACGCGTGCTCTAAATTACAGGATGTGAGCGATCAAGTAACATTTACAACTGGCCCTAACCCCAACCCCCCTCCCCCACACCCTGAGGCTACGTCCTACGAGAGAGAGTGCAGTCTACAGCAGTAGACCGGGACACCCCTGTAGCTTTGAGCAACGTGGACCAGCCTGACCAAACATCAATGAAAGGTGACCTAGTGTGTAGAGGGACTGAGCTGGGCCCGAGTTCGTTACCAGTTCCGAAACAAATTATACCTACAGCAAATGGCGAAATTCCTGATTTGTAGAACACATAATCATAAACCTCACCTCTTTCCCTCTTTCCACATCTCGGCTCAAAGCTGTGTAGAAAATTCATCATATACGTTACCTTCAATCACAGGTGCCACTTACTCACCTGTTCAATCTTGGGCAGGGAACTGTTCAAATTCATCTCATTCTGCGAGATGCCACAGATCAGGGTTGTTCTCATAGCTTTGTCTTTCATTCTCAGACGAAGCGAGACGATTCTGTTCAGCAACCAGGTGTGTATCTACGAGCAGGACTGCAAGCTGCATCTGGCCGTGAGGGTGGGCGACATGCGCAAGGCGGATATTGCTGGCGCGCATGCTCAAGGCTACTTGGTCAAAAAGTACAGATCACAAGATGGTGAGTCGGCTGCTGTCGCGAGGTCTTGGAGGAAATCTTGAAAATTTAGGTTTAGACGAGGTTTAGGTTTAAACAACGGATCAACATCGTGGCACAAGGGTAGTAACCCAAAAGTCCTCCGTTCTACTTTTAACTTCAGCCTGAGTCTAAAGAATTTCGGTGCAGTGCACGAACTCCGTTGCACCGGCGAGTTCCTGAAATATATACTTTGGGTAGATTTGTTAACTCCAAATTTTGCTCGGGCAGCGCAGTTAGGCTACTCTGTTTCAATTTCCAACTGCCAAGGGATGTTTTTACGTGCGCTACAATACACACAGGCGGCCCATCTTATTTACATAGAGACCATAAGAAATTATAAGAAGTCCATGTGGAAAAAAAAAAATCCCAGGCTTCACTGGGGCTTGAACCCGGGACCTCGAGCACTAGAGGCAGACGCCATGCCTCGAGACCACTCAGCCTCCAAAAATATGCATGGTAATTGAAAGTATTAATTCATATACACACAGAAGCCACCCCCCCCCCCCCGGGACAAACACACATACATACAAACACATGCACATCATGCACATATACAAAGATTAGGGAAGGCAGTTGAGCTTCCTTAGGTAATGTCTAAGTGGCCTAATCGCTGCCAATAATTATGTTTAGACGTTCTCTTTTTAAAGTATATGTTGATATATGTCATACTGTTTCAGTTGTTTCCAGGTTAAGAATGGATGTGAAGATTTCACTGCAGCTTTCCGCTGGCTAGAGAACACCACACACACACACACACACACACACACACACACACACACACACACGCACTCACGCACTCACGCACACACACATACACACACACACACACACATCATGATTTTAACTGACTCAGAAAGCATACGGAGGAAGGTGAGGACATGCTGAGGTCACGAGTGAGGACATTGTCTGGATCTTTTCTCCTGGTCATGCCAGTTTGTTGGGAATTGAACAGACGGACAAACTGGCTGGCTTTGTGCAGCTTGGTAGAATACTGATGCATGATAAGGCAGACGTAGTTAGGCCTTGTGGGAGAACGTGTAAAATTTGGAGTAGCCTATGGATCATTACAGTCTGGTGAGAGTGATGCAGCGGAGAATGACGAGGGGGTCTGGCCTCACTCGACGCTCAGAGAAAAAGCAAGACGGACGTATAATAGGCACTACTGGTATTGGAACTCTAGGCTGGCTGCTGAAGATGGGAACGGACCGCTTATGGGAACGCCCCGAATGCTGTGATGTCCGTTCATGAATAACCTCATGTATACTGTTTCAAATATATTATTACATTTTGTTAAAAAAATAATAATAATTTCCTATTATTAAAATGCACCTAAATAAGTCTCTCTGAGTCCTTTTAGTAAATATGTAAATAGACTGAGTACGCTCCTTCCCCCAGCATCCTCAATCTTTCATTGTGTCGGCCCTCCTATATATAAAAACTGTGCTTCATCAAATGGTAAACTTGACGGGTGGTAGAGTAAGAGGATGACAACCAGACAAATATATTGGCAATTTGTTTCATATGGTAAAAATTAAATAATTTTATATTACAGTTCTTTAGTTTTAATAATGTTATAATATGGAGAGAGAGAACTGGTCCATCAGCTAAACAGGCTCACAGAAAACAATCAAATCATTCTCCAGTGGATCCAGCTCACTGCAGCATTTCAGGAAATAAGTAAGCAGGCAGACCTGCAAAAAATGAAACAAAGGAGAAACAACACACCCATTCATTGTCACTACCAGAAATCAGAACACTTATCAAAGGAAAATACAAGGGATTGTGGAGAGAACAAACTAACAGTAAACATCCACAAGACACCATCAGCAGACTGAACATAAAGCAACATACAACAATATTCCGTCTACGAACAGCTCAACTACCACATGCATAAAATAAAAACTGTACAGTCCCCACAGTGTGCCTGTCAAACAAAACCACAAACACCTAAGTGCATTCTGCAGACCTACCCACTTTACCTACAACTTCGAAAAGACCAGGCCTCAAGAGCAAAGCGTGCAGAGCAAGCTATGGGTAACCATGAAGGACCTGCTACTGACATGCGAATTCATAGAAGCAACCCGTGATCGTCTGAATTGAGCATTCGAAACCGAACGCATAAAACAAAAAGATACATAGAACCAAAAAAATATATATATAGTCAACTGTTTATGTTTGCCTTGTATGCTTGACCTGTCTTACAGGTAGCTTCGTTCCTGTTCGTTCCTATCCTGGTTAATTTCAAAGGTGAAAGCGGGCGGGACCTAATCTTCTTCCCATGGCCAACTCAGATTTTACATTTAGTGGACGAAGATTCACCCCTGTGGTCATTGTCCAGGTGGGTTGTATGTAATGCAAATGTTGAGTATTGCATTTCTACTGTATTTACACGTTTATGACCAGCTGTCCACAAGTCTACATTTGCAGCTTTTCATTTAAGTGTGTTAGAAGTTTCTTTGCTGACGAGTTCACGTGATATTATAATTTATTTTAAAATATGTATTGCCACTGCGACAGTGTTTGTGTTCACAAATCCCTGAACAGCTGTCCAACTGTCTAACTTTGCAACCTTTCTATCAAAACTTTTAAAACCAGTTCCCGTGATATTATTATTATTATTTTAAATATGTACTGCTATTGGGCTGTGTTTGCGTTCACACATTTCTGAACAGCTGTCCAACTGTCTGACTTTGCAGTTTTTCAATTAAAAGTATAAGTTTCTTTGCTGACAAGTCCACATGATATTATTATTATTATTATTATTATTATTATTATTATTATTATTATTATTATTATTATTATTATTATTATTATTATTAACTATGTATTGCCATTATGACAGTGTTTGCCCGCTGAATTGTTTCTTCTAACCGATAGTTTATTTATGGTTCTTAGGTAAGACGTTCCTGACCCATGGTCTAGAACTGTGTCCGAAAATGAGCGCTGCAGAATAAAACTGGGACCCCCCCCCCCCCAAACCCCTAGTTAAGGGAGAGGGGGGGGGGGGGTTAATTAACCCTCTTTCAAAATTTTTCCTTAAGTAGAATCACTGAACCTAAGTCTTGGTTATCTGCTTAATAATAATAAAGTCAAGGTTCCTGTTCCACGCTTTTAGGTGTATATTTTGTGAACATTGCTGAAGTATCACAAAAAGGCAGTATAGACAAGAACTGTTGTTTCCAGACATTTTATTTTACAAGCATCAGAGTCACGCCAGAAACATGCAGCTAGCAAGACATCATCATCATCATCACCACCACCACTATCGACATGAGCATCTTTCTCCTCGTCTATATTTTCCAATCGACTCCTCCTGTAGAAAACCTAAAGACAAACCCGTGTGTGACATCTAGGGATGGTAGTGAAGTTTTATTTTTTGTGTTTTTACTCACGAAATTGTAACAGCTAGATGAAAATTAAAATTACAAATCCAATGGTACCTCATTTAAGCCTGTAAGTCGATTCTAAGCGGAGATATTAACATTTTAGTGGCGGACCCCACGACAGAAAAATTGTAGTGGAAATCCATGAAACATGACTTCCGGCTGCGACCCAGTGAGATGAAATGACTCAATGTTTGCATTTTACGGCCATAACTTTTTTGTTTTTGAACGAATCCCTTAGCAACCATATATTGCTAGAATCGGGACAGTAAGACCTAACCGTTTATGCATGTCTCAATTACATACACTACGATATGCGCCTATTTAACATAGGAAAATGTCTGCAGGCTGATTTATTTTTCATCAAAAACCTTATACATTTACAGTTGTCTGCCAGCGAGCCTGGCTTAAAACATATCATATTGTGTGTCCTGGCAAGGCGAACATAAAGATCATATAAATGTGCCAATGTCAGTTGACGTGACCTAATTAACAAATACCGAACCCCCCCCCCCTTTTGCAACAGCAATGTCACCCGGGGTGGTCTTTCTCCGCACAGTAATGACACCTGGGGTGGTTGTTCCCCCCTCCCCCCACAGTGATGATACCGGGATGGCCGCATCCCCTTCCTGCTACCTTCTTTCCCTGGTATCTCTCCTCTTCTTTCTTTCTTTTTCCTCTTTTTTCGTTTTCCCCATGTCTCAGTGTCGACTTTCTTTTCTTAGTCTCTTTTTTTTTTAAATTCCTCTCTCCTCCTCCTGCTCTCTCTCTTTCTCAACTTTCTCTCAATCTTCTACTGCCCCTCCCCCAACTCTCCGTTCTATATGGTAGAAGAAAACATGAGCCCACTGGTAGTACACGCCGTTTTCATAATAGGTCGGTGACAGTGTTAACAACAGGGCAAACACAGCAGGTGTGTTCATTTCTGGGAATCAGGTCAGGTCGGATTTACTTTTCTTTCAAAAATGACCATGGCTCCCATGTCCACCCAGCATTGAATGTAAGAAATAGATCTATAGCAGCCACACGCGGACAGCCAAGCATGGGAGGGTTGCCAATGGGATTTTTGTCAAACCTGAAGCTAAGCTTATGTCAAGAGGTGAATCAACTAAACCCTGCACAGTAGACTCGTCGTGACGTTGACGCCCCTAGCGGGCAGGTCACATTTCAAATTTAAACCCGTCCGGTGGGTATATAATCAATTATTTTGATATATACCTCTATCTGGTGGAATAGATATTTCTATACCCTCTAGTTGTTTTGAAAAGTCTACATTTTCAAACTTGCAACTGTGGGATATATATTTTCTGGAGTAATATTCCGAATTCCTGGAAACCTTTTTACTCCTTGGTGTACTTGTACAGGACATTTTTTTTCTAGAGACGCAAAGCGAGATTAGGCTGGGTCATTCTTTGCCTGACTTCCTATGTGTGCAGAAGTATGTCACCTCTCTGATTAAATCTTGGCGCATTCAAAATACCAGTTTAATCTTTGAAGGATTCCTAAGCTTGGGTAAGTTGATTATAGTTTACAAGTACCATGATATATGTCTCTATAAAGTTAGCCGCTGCTGCAGGGAGGAAAGATTCAGCTGTGTGACCGCACAGAACTAGGCCGTTCTTGGTGTCCAGACACTCAAGCCCCTGAAATCAAACCTTTCCCTTCGCAGGCTAATAGTTTGTGCCCTACCTGACCCACACCATTATAAATATATTAAACTCAGCAAGTTAATTATTCTCTAACCAGCCGACAGAGTTTGTGTCAAATAGCGGACATATTTAACTGGGTCACACTTCAGCCAGCTAGGCACTGTGACGTTAGAGATTTTTTTTTTAGCACAACAACACTGGGTGTGCAGTGGGCAGAATGTGGAGGTATAAAATATATATATATGTGAGAGAGAGAGAGATGGGATGTACATCTACAAGTGCAGAGGTGGGCGAGGAGAGTTGATATTCTATGTTTGATAGAGTCTATCTGTCTCTACTTTGCTACTCGTCTCTTGTCCCTGTTACTGACTGAACAAAAGAGATGATATTTAGAGACTTATACTGTCTCATTATCCTGAAAACTCATGTAACCCCTGAGATGACTGCTAATTCTGAGTTCCTTCTTGATACAGGATGGTATCTCCTTGGAGGCCAGGCAGTGAATCAGCAGTCCACAAAAACACCTACAAGGAAGTCACCAATGTCCAAACCAGTGGTGGGCATCCAATTGTAAACCAAACTTTTGTCATCCATTAGGGAAATCCTCCAGTTGGTCTATGGACTACATAATGGGTGTTGTACCTTCACCATCATTTTTGATTGACTTGGTACCCGAGATCCTCTCCAGGAGCTTGGGTGTATCACCAGTGTTTGAGTGTCTAGTGTGGGACTGTCTTCAACGTAACAACACAGTGACTGAATATTCAGCAAGTTCAAGAAACCAGGGATTCAGATAAGTGTGGTCAATTGGTTTATTGCCGGGCTTCACTGTTAATCGTCCACATGATCATGATGATGATCTAGGCGGACCTTGGGAATCTCTTACACATTCAGTCAGATCTGTTTTGAAGATTTTGTCCTTCCTAACACTCTGGGTTCTTGAAGTTCTTTGCTGATTCTTATATAATGTATGTGTTGCATTTATTACATGTTCAGAAAGTTTCATTATTGACTTGAGTGTCCATCATTCACTGTTCAAACTGTCTAGCTTTTATGTTTGTGTAAATAGTAAGTTTAATCTGTGTTAACATGGCTGTGATAGTACACTATCATAGCCTGGGGGCTTTCTTGTTATAATAGTGGGGGTGTCCAGCCAAGTTGCGATTAGGATTAGTAGATATTCTGTAGTGCCAGAACTTAAGTTGCCCTACTCCTAAAATAAGTTGAGCGTATATTGGCCACGGGATATCCCTTAGACCAATACGAGCCGACGCCTCAACCTTATTTTATTTCAGAGTTCTGTTGGTTCTTAAGGAGAAATCCTTAAATCAGGCACGCGACACGAGCGGTATGTGACAGCTTACCAAAAACCCAAGCAATATATAAGAAAAACAAAATTGACAAATAGTACATATTTTATAGTTAATTTTATAATTACGAAATGAAACATTTACCCACTTTTATATAATTTTATATAAGGATATATATGTTAAAAAAAAAAAAAAAAAGATTCCAAAATCTTAACCCAAGGTGTCGTAAAAAAACCCAGTTCTTGGGGGAAAGCCCAAGTACTGGCAGGCCTGATGAAAGGGAACGCTGTCAGCGCTGCTGTTGTTTCTCGACCACTTAGATTTACCAATTCCGACTGAAAATTCAGTGGATTCTAAATAATAACAGACGCATTAAAAAATGCTACAAGAGTTGTAGATGTTTAAAAAGTAACTCACTTAACATTATTAATTTACTAAGTATCTGAAGTTAATTACTAAAGAATAATCTTAGAAAATGCGCAATGATGGCCCAAATTAATTATTGGGATTTGAGGGTGATCAGGAAAAAAAAAATATCCAACAGAGAATGCGAAGGGCTCTAAAAAATGACAGATGCATGAACAAATGCTACAATGGTTGTGGATTTTTTTTTAAATGATTAAAATAACGTTAGCTAATTTAATAATTATTTTAAGTTAATTATAAAGCGGGAAAAACGGTCTCCTAGTGAAAACATATTGAATTTAAAGCCAAAACAGTGATGCCACTAAACAATTTTTTTTAAACATGTGCTGTACTGCCAATCTTTGTGAAATTTCCCACTCTTATATAAAAATTAACGCAGAATTCAAAAATACAACACACATTGCGGTAATCTGGCTAATTAAAACGATATTTACGAAATTACTTACCGTTATTGAATTCAAGGCCAAAACAGTGATGCCACTAAACAATTTTTTTAAACATGAGCTGTATTGCCAATCTTTGTGAAATTTCCCACACTTATATAAAAATTAACGCAGAATTCAAAAATAAAACACACTTTGCGGTAATCTAGCTAATTAAAAAGATATTAACGAAATTACTTACCGTTATTCACTGCGTGCTGCCCAAAAAAAAAATCGATTTATTTTATACGCGTCAAAACCATCTCAGGTCAAAGCCTGGCATCTCTCCAATAACTTCTAATAACTTTTCCGATTTTATCTTTCACGTAAAGAGCACAGAAAAATAGTTTCTGAAAAACAGACAATTGGTTTTCAGATTTTTGGGTCGCAATCGCGTCTATAGATACCGACGAAAATGTATAGCAAAATAAACCAAACAAAACAATCCATTGCTATACCTACATCAACGTATGCAAAGAAGTCAGCTGTGCTGCATTAGATAATACATGTACTCTAACAGACGTATTGTTGGCATTCTACAGGGATGAGCTTCTTAAAGGTAGATTTGAACTGATTGTGGTGATTGATGGAGTCAGTGGAGCCACAAGCCGCCCCTTCCAGGCCAGGAAATCATACCATACATGTGAGATGAAGTGGGGCCACAGGTTTGTATGTGTATCTGTATGTTCCTCATTAACTATAAGTATGTTCCTCATTAACTATAAGTATGTTCCTCATTAACTATAAGCATGTTCCTCATTAACTATAAGTATGTTCCTCATTAACTATAAGTATGTTCCCTCATTAACTATAAGTATGTTCCTCATTAACTATAAGTATGTTTCTCATTAACTATAAGTATGTTCCTCATTAACTATAAGTATGTTCCTCATTAACTATAAGTATGTTCCTCATTAACTATAAGTATGTTCCTCATTAACTATAAGTATGTTCCTCATTAACTATAAGTATGTTCCTCATTAACTATAAGTATGTTCCTCATTAACTATAAGTTTGTTCATCATGTTATTTCTCCAGAACATTCTTTGACCGCCCCCTCTCCACAACCTGCCCGTATTTAATTTCATTGTATTATCTCCCCCTCATCATCCTTGGTCGTATACTTTCTCTTCTTTCTTATTTCTTCTTCTTCTTCTTCTTCTTCTTCTTCTTCTTCTTCTTCTTCTTCTTCTTCTTCTTCTTCTTCTTCTTCTTCTTCTTCTTCTTCTTCTTCTTCTTCATCATCATCATCATCATCAGCATCCTCTCCTCCTTTTCATCCTCCAGCTCCTCCGTCTAATAAACATCAATTGGTCGCATAGCTGATTTCTAGTTGACTTATGAGGCTAAACTGAATATTTTACATGCAAATTTGAAAAATAATTTTGGTTTCTTGTAAAGAAAAGACGATTTAGTTTGTTTTAAACCATTGCAAATTGTCATAATTTGGTAGTCATCATCCTTATCATATGTCCACATTATGTTTTCTAATTCACCTATTTCCTTGTCAGGTTTGATAACCTTAATCTGAGCTACGGCTGGGGTGGCAGTTACTTGATGGACTTATCAACATTTGACAACACAGTGCCAACATCAGCGCCCCTGTGTAGCGCTCGAGACATCACTCACCTCAGAGAAATGTACAAGGCCACACATCCTGAGCCAAGCTTGCCAACCCAGCATAACTCCACCACCAGTCATTCCAGTCAGCTACAAAGCACATCAACCGCATCTGACATCCAAGTTTTCTCTGAGGCAGATAGCATATCCGTAGAACCTGGAAACCATCTAAATACTCCCGTGACGGTACCGAGAAGCCAAAGGTCAAAGAGTGTGGAAGAGAGAATCCCACCGCCGCCGAACATTGAAAGGCAACGAAGATGCTCCTTGGGAGACATGATTCGAGCTTCTCAAGGAGATAAAGGTGTGAAACAAAGCCAGTATGTTGACGCATTGAATATCTACAGGCACCGGAGAAGTGTAACTGATACTTATCTGGGGGAAGAAATAACAGAAGAAGGTGATGAAGTTTACGACAGCAATCAAGCCATTTTATCGGTTGTTTCTCGAAGATCTGCCGAAAAACGAATCGACTCAAGGGATCCTTCAAGCGACGTCGAAGCTCAGTTCAACTGCTCTTCGGTAGAGAGACAGAAAATAGAACAGAAGAGGAACCAGAATATGACACCATTCAGACAGTTTTGACAGTGCTCTCTCAGAAAAGCACTGACAAGACAGCTGATGTTAGAGATGTCTTTGCACGTAGAAAAAGTTCTGTTCAGCCGTGTTTTATTCCAGAATGTAAAATGGTAACTCCCACATTTTTGATAGAGGATTATGACAAATAGGGTGTTTCCAAAAGTATCTGTGGTATTGCAGGAGCACCACTTTGTGCCAAACCGATTGTGCAACAGCAGATCAAATGGTTTCAGCATCTCGTTAAATGCAGCAAAGCTTGTTACCAATATAGACGCTAGATCTAATAAATCTTTTACAAAATCTTATACGAGAGCAAGTGGGTGTCCAAGAAGAATATAGACTGATGACATTAAAGACAGGGTATGGTCACTAGAGATTGACAATAGTAAAAGCCACACATCGACATTAGGACTATTCCTTTCCATAACCCTTGACAGCAATGAAAAAATGATGAGAAATGCTTGCAAGATCTGTAATCTTAGGATTTTTTAAGGTGCTTTCTTAATATCATACCCCAAACAGGGAAAATCCACAGGTCACGAGACAGTCTAATATTTCAAGGGGTGGTAGATAGACTGCATGCAGTCGTGAGACCTAGGCTGCGATCTCTGGTGGGACGTAGGTGGGTTGGGGTTAGGGCCAGTTCCAAATGTTTTGAGGTCTTTAAAAGCCTCAGAAAGCCAGGAAACCCAGTCTTACCACCCTCTTCAATGTTGGACTGTCCTGTGATTCATCTGGGATAGGATATTACGAAAGAACCTTTTATATTTTACTAAAGCCAGGTCACGGAAACCATTTTGGGTCAAACAGAACAGAGCAACTGCCCCTCAGACAAACATGTCTTAAAAGGTGACTGATCAGAAATTTTTTCCTTTTCCTTCGACGTTGGTATGCATTTGGTTAGTGGGAAAAGGCCATCAACAAACATTCTGCATACAAATAAGTCAGATCTGTAACATGGATATGCACTCGCAGCTCAAGTTCTAGGACAAGATTAAGTACAGAGGTGAACGAATAACCAAAACTTTCCGTCGGAGTTTACAGACGGTGAACGCGAAGAAGAAAGAGCAATGTGTAAACATTACGGAAATCTCCCCAAACAGAGCGAGCCCAGCCTATTTACTCACTAGGTCATTTTTTGTTATATAGTTGCTTAGGCTCGTTAACTTTCCTAAAGGTTAAGGGGGTGTTCCGCGATACCGTTGATAACGCGTGTTGTATATTTCAGCACGTCAGCGCTTTTAACGCTCCAAACACATGCAGGACTGACCCTAACAAAAAAAAAAAAAAAAACCCTACGAGAGTGCTGCAACCTATGTCACAGGCATTCTCTTTCTCAGAATGGAAACGTAGACGTGAGACAACGCAGAAAGCTTTTCGAGCAAACAGTAGAGCGGAACATTCAGCGAAGTTGACGAGCCTAACAAACTATGAATGAAAAGTGACATAGTGCGTAAATTGGCGTGGCTAACTGTTTAGGGAGATTATAATATTCACCAAGCAAAGGATCCAAAAATTATATTTCCGGCTTGTAGCTTCCAGCTGGTAGTTTGACACCGTATAATTATGCAGCTGTACGGTAGCTGCAATTCAGGCCGTCGCAAAATAAAAATAAAAAAAAAAAAATTAACAATCGACAAGCATGCATGCTGTGGTTGTAGACAATATTAGGTTACGTAGATTGCCATTGCTTCATGAATGTTGCAACCTAAACGATTGTCAGAACCATCGCAGTGCAAAGATATACAGTACAACTTATACGCCACAAAAAGATTTAATATAGATACGGGTTTGTATACATAAATTTACACCCCCTATGGCAAACAAATGTTTTGAGCAAATAACACTTCCTTCATATACCTCATTTACATTTTCATTTGTATTTATTCTTTTCTATGCAATCATTAATTTAACTTTCTGTGCCAAGAAAGTTAATTTTAAAAGATATAACATTTCTGAAATTATTACTACTATTAGCTGGATTCGGTAAGTTGCTAGATGAAGATAAAAAGCACTCACTTCACTCTGCTAGCCTGAGAGGCTCCTCAGGGGCAGGGGTAGTGTGCCTGGTTTAGCCACCAGACCAGGGTTGCGTGAAACCATGATAGGCAGGTGACAGATAACAATTGTGAGTAGCTGAAAATATTGCAGGACTGGTCAGCAGTTTACCTGTTTGGCAGATAATACCACTATAGACACAGTGGCTAGGAAAGCATATCCAGTTTTGTTACTGAAATCACAACCAGTGCACTTATATACAACTGACACCGTTTTTAAGATATCCACACATAAGTATCAGCGCCAAGAAACAGATTATAAACTGCATATTAATACCAACAGTGGGCTACCAGGGGTACACTTGGACATTATCAAAGACTTCTTCTTCTTCACTTCCTCTTTTACCGCTGTAGGTGTCGAAGGAAATATAAGGTTCTGTTTCTAGCTCTTCTGGCTGCCTCGACTATAGGCACATCGTGCTGTTGTAGAGTTTCTCTGATGTTATCCTTCCATCTTGTTCTTGGTCTACCTTGTGCTCTACGTCCTTCTTCTCTTTCCATGTATGCTTTGTATGGTATGGTGTCACAAGGCATTCTCTCTAAGTGGGCAAACCATTTCACTTGCTGTCTTTGTATGTAATCCAGAATTGGTTCTGTGCCGACTTGTTCTCTTATGATCTCATTCCTGATCTTATCTCTTATGGTCACTCCTACAGCCCTTCTCAGACATCTCATTTCCGTGGTTACTCATTTTCTTTTATGGTTTGTTGTGAGTGACCATGTCTGGCACTGGTAGCACAGAGTTGGAATAAATATGCTTTGAATAAGATGTCTCTTTGTGCTGATTGGGATTGTCTTATGCTGTAAGAGGGGGGCTAGCTGTCCCAATACTTGGTTTGCTTTACTGCATCTAATGTCAATTTCTTTATCCAATTTCCCATCTTCGGTAAATGTAGTTCCCAGATATTTAAACTCAGATGCCTGTTTAATGCCTTTGTATTCTATTGCTATGTTTAGATCTGTCTTCTTTTTTCCTATTGACATTACTTCTGTCTTTTCAGTGTTGATTCTCATATTATTTGTTTTACATTCTTCATTCATGGATGTTAGATGTTGTTGCAATTTAATGGCTGTATCTGCTATCAAGGCCTGGTCATCTGCACTGAGTAATTCGTTGATCTTACTAAGATCTTCATTCATTGGCTTGGCATTCTTGCATATACTGTCGATGTAGGTACATATCAAAGACTAAAAAAATACATAAAATTAACACATGTGAAATGAGATACCTGAGAAAAACCGGCAACTTAACCATTGAAGACAAAGCTAGAAATGATATTATCAGAATGTTGGAAAAATTCACTGAGAAACAGAAGATCAAATGGTTTGGCTATTTAGTAGGAATGCAGCCAGAGCAACTACCAACACGGGGGCTAGACATGAGAGGATCTACAGTGAAAGCAAAAGACTGCCCTAGGAGAAGACGGGTTGATGACAATAAAGAGCTTCTACATCTACACGGAATGACAGTAGCCATTGCTGACCATCAAGCAAACTGTTCATCCCCACAACGCTTAACGGCTGACATGGACATTTTTTTATAATGATTACAGGAAAACAAAAGTGCAGCCTTTGGTTAGTATCTAAAACACACACACAAACACATACTGATTTGATTTGATTTGATTTGATTCAAGAACCAACATCACAGCACTCGGGGCATTCCCATAAGCACTCCATCCCCATCTTCAGCAGCCAGCGAAGAGTTCCGATACTAATGGTGCCAGTAGCTTTCTAATTAAACGTCCGTCTTGCCTTTTCTCTGAGCCTCGAGCTTCTGCCAGAACCTCTCGTCACCCCCAACTGCATCAATCTCACCAGACTGTGGTGATCCATCTGCTCCTCCGAATTGTACACGCTCTCCCACAAGGCACTAACCACGTCTGCCCTATCATGTAGCAGTATTCCACCAAGTTGTGCAGAGCCAGCCAGCCTGTCCGCCTGTTCATTTCCCAACACACCGACGTGACCCGGTGAAAAAATCCAGACAATACTCCTCACTCGAGTCCTCCGCAGCGAAGCATGCCACTCTGCACGAAGCATACCTGTTCTGATCTTCCTCAGCACACTGATATTCATGAATGTACAAACAAATAATCACGGAATTCTAGCACACCGGCATAAGAAATTGACATTAGAGGAGACAGTGGGCGTTGGACAAACATGACTTTCAAATTAACAATCAGTGGACTTGAAGTGTACGTAATGAACAGATAAGGCAACATCTTAATTTTAGAGGTATCCACTTTAGGTTATAATTGGGACTAGGTTATGTGCGCCATATAAATTGGCCCCGCTTTGCACGCCACGAAGAGCCCTGAACAGGAAGAATCCCGCAGTGTTGATGTGATCAAAGGAGACGGACCCAAATACTGTCCCGACCGGCGACGAAGTCGCCTACCAGTAAGTCAGTGGGCGACACAGTCATCATGTGTGTTTACTTCTTTCAGTTACATGATATTGTTTGTTCGAACTTTTTAATGGACATTTTATAATACATTTACTACCTTTTTTTTAGTGCTGCCTTCTGTAAAATGTGTTGTAAAGTTTCAGTGGTTGATCGATAGAGCTTAGACATTTTGAAATTTTGTAAGCTTGCAAATGTTATTGTAACTGCCGTTCCTTCCTTTTTCTTTCCTCACCCTCCTCCTTTTTCCCGCTCTGGTCCTTTCCTCCCTCTCATTCTGCTGGAAATAATCTGGAAACCAATATGATAAATATAACAACCACATCAACAACAGCAATAATAGCAACAACAAAAAACTACTACTGATACTGCTACTACTGCTCACGCCTACTATTACAACTGCTACTACTGCTGCCGCAGCTGCTGCTACTACTACTGTAACTGCAGCTGCCTTTACTGCTGTTACTACTACTACTACTACTGCTGCTACTGTTGCTGCTGTGATACTACTTCTACTGTTACTGAGTTACAAGAGCCACTTC